ATTTGTGAACCCTTTAGAATTTTCTATATTTCTGCATAAATATGACTCAAAACATAATCAAAATTTCACACAAGTTCTGAAAGTAGACCAAGAGAACCCAAACAAATAAACGAGACAAAAATATCTTCTTTATATTCTTTAAATATGTTTTTATTTATTGAGAAAAATGATCCAATGTTACATATCTGTGTGGTGCAAGAGTATGTGAATCTTTGCTTTCAGTATCTGGTCTGACCCCCTTTTGCAGCAATAACTGCAGGTAAATGTTTCTTGTAACTGCTGATCAGTCCTGCACAACATCTTGAAGGAGTTTTAGACCATTCCTCAGTACAGAACCGCTTCAGCTCTGTGATGTTGGTGGGTTTCCTCCTATGAACTACTTGCTTCAGTTCCTTCCACAAAATTTAAATTGGATTAAGGTCCGGACTTTAACTTGACCATTACGACCTTTAGAATTTGCTGGTATAATTCAGAATTCATTGTTCCATCAATGATGGCAAGCTGTCCTGGCCCAGATGCAGCAAAACAGGCCCAAACCACGATACTACCACCACCATGTTTCACAGATGGGATGAGGTTCTTATTCTGGAATACAGTGTGTTATTTTCTTCAAACATAACACTTCTCATATAAACCAAAAAGTTATATTTTGGTCTCATCCGTCCACAAAACATTTCTCCAATAGCCCTCTGGCTTGTCCACATGATCTTTAGCAAACTGCAGACTGGCAGCAATTTTCTTTTTGGACAGCAGTGACTTTCTCCTTGCAACTCTGCCATGCACAGCATGGGTGTTCAATGTTCTCCTGATGGTGGACTCATGAACATTAGCCAATGTGAGAAAGATCTTTGTTGGTGGACCACTTCTGGGGAGGGTAACAATGGTCTTGAATCTCCTCCATTTGTACACAATCTGTTTGACTGTGGATTTGTGGAGTCCAAACTCTTTAGAGATGGTTTTGTAACCTTTTCTAGCCTGATGAGCAACAGCAACTCTTTTTCTGAGGTCCTCAGAGATCTCCTTTGTTCGTGCCATGATTCACTTCCACAAACATGATCAGACTTTGATAGATCCCTGTTCTTTAAATAAAACAGGGCAGGCAATGACACCTGATAGTCATTTCACTGAATGAAAACTCCTCTGAACAGATGGACTCTTAATTTCACCTTGAAATTAACTGCTGATCCTAGAGATTCACATACTTTTGCTCCGCACAGATATGTAACACTGGAGAATTTTTCTCAATAAATAAATTAAAAAGAAAATATTTTTGTCTAATTTGTTTGATTGGGTTATATTTGTCTATTTTCAGGACTTGTGTGAAAATCTGTTTATGTTTTGGGTCATATTTATGCAGAAATATACAAAATTCTAAAGGGTTCACAAACTTTCAAGCAGCACTGTATATATGCAACGTTGAACATTATAACCAATCACACGTTTCCGTTGAGCTTATGAATGCAATGCAACTGCTGTAAACGCTGCAGTTGAAGTTTTATAATAATTAATTATAAAAAATAATTAAGTAATTATAAAAAAGGTCTTTACCAATGAAAAAAAAATGCCTCTGGAAATTGTGTCCCTTGATGCAAAAGTTCATTTCTGACCCTGCACATTTATTTTGCTTTCAGTTATTTTTAGGTACTATATCTACTGTTCGACTTCCATGACTTTGAATAAGCAGCTCTCTATTTCCGGTCAGGGATCAAATAAGGAAATTGACTCCAACACCAACCTAATGTCTATCTCCTCTCTCATTCAGCAGCTGCCAGGAAAGGCAAATAATAAGGAAGTAGATCGTTGTCTATAATTAATGAAAGGCCTCCAATCAATCTACCAAGCTGCTAAAGAACTGAGACAAATGGAAGGCCAATTTTCCAGTGGGCAATGCTGTAATGAATCCTCTTCACTGACAGGAGTATGCTAAAGGATTCAGCATGATGAAATACTCATTAGTCTGATCTGGAAGGAACTGAAATGAGATCTGAGCCAGGACACGTAGTGCACAAAAATGCTGACCGAGTCTGGAATCATCTTGAGTCTTTCTGCAGGTTACGTCCGTATCTTTAGTTAGTCATTGAATCACCAGTGGTCGTCGAAAACACTGATTCATTCAGGAATCAAACACAGCACTGTGTGCATTTCGAAGATGCGACGATTAATCCTGCTATTGCTTTTCCGTTGGCTGAACAAAAACATTAAGTAACTGGCAATATTAATGTCTAAAATGTATGTTATTCCAAATTAATTTCTTGTATATTTAACTGTCGAGTAAAAACAGGGGTGTTTCTAATCTTTCACACACTTTGCTTATATGTGCAGGATAGTTTCGAATACTGCTCCGGAGATTTAGTGTGCGTTAAGGGCACTGCGCTTTGGCGTTTTTAAGACCTGGGACAGTCTTGTGCACTTACTTCCTGTCCAGTGCATGCGCTCTCAATTGGCCAAGACCGCAAGTGTGGATATTTGGACTTTACGTGATAAGTTTTTATTTCTATGAGTCCGTCTTGGACTTTCTGCTCGAGGGCGCCCTCCTGCTTCCAGTATGACTGAAACATACAGTGCATGAGAGTGTTGAGCGCTCTGTGATGTTCACATCACCTCAGTCCTGATTCAAATAAAACATCAGGTCATGCACAGACTGTTTTTTTTTTTCATAGTGAGATTTTTGGTGAACTGTATTAAAACCAGACCCCAAATCATCATAATCAAACTAAACATAATTAATTGCAATAACAGTATAGGGAACCCATAACAACTAAAAAAACTAAATTGTTCAAACGTTCTTTAGATAATAACAAATGAGATTTTAATTAGATTTAGACCACTGAAATAGGAGATGTTCCCGGTTTCCATTTCAGAAACCTGGTCGCCTTATTCCAGTGTCATTCGCGTTTAGTAATTTTATCTGTACAAAAATAATCCATTAGGCAGCTTAATACTGCAAACTGGCATTTGATGTCATATTAGTTTAAGCTCTTATCGTAGTCATAAACACACTGGTTAGTAGTGCAACTAGTGTTACCAATTATTGCATTTTTCTTCTATTTATTTACCTATAGTGGTTAATGAAGTGGAATTCTAACACATTCACAGAAAATATGTCTGTATTGCAAAATAAGTTGGAAATGATAACCTCCATAATCAGATGAAAATATTTATCATTAATATTCCAGTAAGGGTCTAGCGACACCCCTGCATACACAATCATTATCACATTCGCCATCGTTCGTGTGTGAATCTGAAACTGTGCTGATATTTACCATAACAGCACTCTTGCTTGTGTGATTTCGCAAAAAATGCAAGGATATAATTTTGTGAATCTCACAATGCAATGCAGATTTTACAAAGAGGCATTCAGGCTATTAGAACAGGTAAAACCAGCAGATCTGCTCCCTGAACAAGCTCTGTTGCCAGTGTCAAAAGTGCAAAGAGGGCAAAAGCCTGTTTGAATGAAAAGGTAATAATATGGCGCAACGGATAACGTGTCCGACTACGGATCAGAAGATTTTAGGTTCGACTCCTGGCTGGCTCGCTCTGTATTTTAGGGGAAGTCGTGGCCTAATGGTTAGAGAGTCGGACTCGTAACCCAAAGGTTGTGGGTTCGAGTCTCGTACCGGCAGGGATTGTAGGTGGGGGGAGTGAATGTACAGCGCTCTCTCCCACCTTCAATACCACGACTGAGGTGTCCTTGAGCAAGGCACCGAACCCCCAACTGCTCCCCGGGCGCTGCAGCAAAAAATGGCTGCCCACTGCTCCGGGTGTGTGTTCACGGTGTGTGTGCACTTAGGATGGGATAAATGCAGAGCACTAATTCTGAGTATGGGTCACCATACTTGGCCACATGTCACTTCACTCATAATGAAAAATAACAGTCCTGCACAAAAACTTGACTAGAATTATAAATGAATCACAGGAGGAAAGTTTTTTTTTTTTTTTTCTTTTCTAAAATGATGCGTCTCGAGGTGTTAATTTATGCAATTATCCTGGAACCTGCCAGACAAAACTGCAAATAGCTCTGGTCAGCTCTGCTGATATGCTTTACTGACCCTAATTAGTGCCTGTAATTGTTTTGACAATTACAACTAAGGACTGTAAGGACTGGTTGCTAGGTGCTTGTATCCACCCACTGACGAGCACCGGACCCTCATGACCAGCAGTAGGCACTCCTGCATCGTCACTGCCGGTCCACGGCTAGAAGACGTCATATGACAGAAAAAACACACATCCGTGAATCATAGTAGTGCCTGGAGGTGACGCTGCAAAAGTGTAGTTCAAAACAATTGTTTAAAATAGTTTTATTTCTTTTAAAATATACATCAGTTTACAAATGTAGAAAATAAAATTAGTCCAGTCATAAGAATTTTTTTATTTATTTGTTTAGGGGAAAAAGCTGTGCATGGAATATCTACACAACCATGGAAGCTTTTCCTGATAAAAGTAAAAGTAAAAGTAAAAATTACACTGCATGGGGAGGGGGATCAAAACGATGGTGACCAGGAAAAAAGCACCATGTTGCTACAGTTGCACATGTATAAGACAAGGTATGCACCAGAAATTACCACTTTAATACAAGGGCATTAGTCAATAACAACTTAATTTGACTTGACATTTTACATTTTGTTGATGGCTACATGAAAGTTGGCCTACTGATGGATAAAAAAATTCATAGATCAAAGGAAAAGTAGCGCAGATTACGCACCGTAGGTAGTGAAGGTTAAAGAGAAGATAACATGAATATGTTTTTCCATCACAGAGACGTCAGCTTTGGGCAGAAGGCGGATTGGAGTGTTGCTTGGAGGATAACCTTGACATTTTTTTCATTTCTTAGATTTCTCAGCAAAGCTTTTGAAAGACTTGCGCACAGCACACCAGAGGGTCACCTTGGATTAAAGAAGATGTGCACGTCTCTTATGTGTGCAATTAAATTTGAGTTATTAAAGTTGCATGAGAGCAGAGGAGAAAGTCCTATTTATGCACTCAGTGTATTGCACATTCTGACCATTGTCGTGTCTTTTTTGTATTTATTTGCATGACCTGCGGTCCGTGTAACATCTGACGAGACTGAAATATTTAAGAGATTCTATTTCGTCATGCGAGACCCTGATGGGCTGTACTCTCGTCTCTTTAAAGCATCACGGAACTATTTTAGAACATGATAAAATATTAATTATTCAGCATGGTGGGTAGTTACACTTCAATTAATCATGGGCTATTAATGGTACTCCCATATATTGCAGAGCAAGACTGATAACTACATACGAAGACCAAAGTGTAAGACAAGAAGAGTAAGTGTGGACTTGGGAGCACATTCTGCCCTTCACTGAGGAACATATAGCTGAATTATTCAGGGCAAGGAGTGCTGTGGCAGACCAGCAATGAGGTGAATATATACAGCAAGCGTTTTACAAAAGTCTGGTGTCCTTCCAGGAATACCGTTAAAATGTAATACATCCTTCTGTACCTTCTGACTCACTGATATGTTCATAAATAAAAGACAAGTATACAACATACTCTTATGCATGAAGAATACTGTTGCGTATCACCTGTAGGGTAAATGTCTCAAATCAGTAAGGGTGGAGAGTATGCTGTGTCCTGATACTAAAAAAAAATAAAAAATACACTAATTTGTAAAGTACACTACTGCATGAAGTACTTGACGCAGGGTGGGACATCTGGATAATGACTGGTCAACAGACTAAAACTTACTGCAAATAAAAAGCACAACGCAAGCACTTAAGGCAATACAGAGTTTAATTGTCTCTAAAATATATTTATCAAAACAAAAGAATGTGGTTGCTTGTAGTCGTTGCATCTGAAACGTATTGTTTGAGAAAAGCTGATAAATGTTAAAATGCTATTTGAACAAGGCTTGAAATGAAACGACTGAAATTTATGATGGGAACACTCAGCACAGAAAAAAACAACAACTTGTAGAAAGTATCTGCTGGACAGATTGATCATCCATAATCATGAGGAATCAGATTTACACACAGAAATACACACAGAAAAATACACCAAATGATGGTGGTATGCACAGTCCCCTTAAAATACATACAGCATTAGCATCAGCTAAAGAATGAGGAACCAATGAAAACGGATGCTACATAAAGATGATTACATTCGTTAAGATCAAAACATGGCTTTTCTTGAAATCAGGGTTTAAAAAGAACAAACAAACAAAAATCATCTAAATAATGTGTTCTTGTCAGTGCCACTCTAACAAAGGCATGTTTCTGGTTAAAATTTCAGCTTTTTAGCTCATCGTTTTTTTATTTAGAAGTCATCATAACAGAGAAAGCTTTGCTAGGTTTTTGTGGTGTTTTTACACAGTACTATATGCATAGTTTTGAAATATTAATATGCCCTCTGAAAGGCAATTTGTGCCGTCAGCAGCAAAGGGTCACATTAATACATCTCTGAATTGGAGGATATGAAATACCAATTACACATTTTAACATTTCAGCCTTACTTGTAGAGGTTTTTTTACTCTTAAATACTGACCTTTGAAAAAAAAAAAAAAGATTAAATATTTCAAATGCCAAACAGCACTGTTTGGGTTGGATTTCTATTGTATTACAGTGTAACAACTAATGTGTAAAAGGGATTGTATATCTTCTCATTTCATGACAGGATTTAGTAACCTATTCACTTATACACACTTCTGCAAGTGCTTAACTGCTTTGAGGTAAGTAATGGGACACTTTAGACCAGCAAAAGACAAATAAATACACAAACTCTATATATTTACTTAAAATCATAATCGGTTTTAAATACCATTAGTCAAACAAAACAGATGAGAATGAAAATCAGGAAGTATACTTAATCATTAAAACAAATACCGAATACATCAAAATCAAATTCAAATTAGTAAAGTACAAAAGCTGTCTATAGCTTGGGTGTTGAAATACAGTGGTAGATCAATGAAGAGAGGTAACTGAAAATTGGAGGTGAAGGATCCTCTCAGTTTATGATGACTAAAAGCAGGCTAAAGGAACAAGATGTTCTTTTAAAGGGTGATGGAGAGCCCCCTCCGTCAGAGCAAGGGTTAGGCACTGAAAATTGACAAGAGAGTCCCATAGATTACATTTAATCTGCTTCAGCCAGCAGAATGCCTGACACAGTGGTATCTGTGAAGCTGTGGCCATTTGGTGCCATCCCAATCTCCCGTAACAAAGGACTTGCACTGGGATACTGGATAGATATCATTCGGCAAAAGCAAATGTCAAAACACCCATTATGTGAGATGTTCCATGTCCGTAGAGTGCCACAGGGATCCTTCCTAATGCTGCTCAATCTTGAACTCATTCTCTTACAGAAGTGTAATTGTATGGCTATGTCCTACTGTTGCCCACTCAATCATGTCACATCAAACAGAATCAAGTCTTGGACTAGGAATGTCTTTTATGACATTCTTGTACGATCCCTGAAGCACCGTCCACGGAAAGCCGGACTGACTGAAGTACTTCACCACGGATGCCATCAATACCATAAGGTTCCACAGATAAAAGAGCTCCAAGCTTCAGAGAGAGGACAGAAGAGTTACAATGATGCCTCAGCAACAGCAGCATGATCAGGGATAACTATAGCAATGCTGATCCGATCCCTTCCGCTTGTCGTATGCTGCTATGCCTAGAGATTGCTAGTAAGACGAAGAGCACTCAAGGTCAAAAAAAAGAGAAGAGTAAGCCTGGAAGTCTCAGTCCAGCAAGTTCCCATGCTCTTGAGCTCTGGTAAGGCTGTCTTTGCGGTGCAAGTGATGAACCCCCATTCTCTTGGGGCTCTTCAGAGGTCGTGAGGAGCCAGTCTGAGGGGGCTTGTCTGCATAATCCTCAAGGGCAGCTAGGACTCTTGAGCCGATGACAGGAAAGTCCTGGGGCAGGCTATCTCGCTCCTCAGCTGAACTTCCTGCAGATCCAGCATCTTCAGCAAACTCTTGACGCTTAGCAGACGCTGGACTGCTCTCAATGGTGACCATGGTGTCACCACTAGCACCATCATTGTCAAGTGGATCAAGGGCCATCAGTAGGTGTTCACCCTCTTCCTGGGAAAAGTCACCACCGTATTGAGTCTTTTTTGCCCGGAGGTCTGCCATGCTGCTGGTGTCTGTATCCAAACTGGACTCTCTACTTGCTGTCCAGCTCTGGGCCGAGGATCCCTCCTCGCCATCAGAGTAAGCACCTCTCAAAGCCCCTACTCCTGATTTTCCGTTGTGACTTCTTTGGAGATCTTTCACCATCTCACTGCTGAAGGACGTGCGGTTGACGAGGGAGCCTTCTGTGGATGGTGCCATTTTTTCTACAAACATGCGCTGCCAGTTGGTCAGTAGGTCCTCCTCTGAGCTACCAGAGCTTGCAAAGGCGCTCGGAGGCTGAGGGGGGCTGCTAAAGGGACTTGAATGACTGGAGAGGGTGTCCGTAGCATCCATCTGTGGAGGTGTGTGCTGGTGAGAAGCATGCCCTCCACCAGAAGATGAGGAGGTACCAGACCGCCAACCCCCATCAGAAACAGCAGGGCTATTGGGCACGGTGCGCTGGCGCTCGGCTGCCTCCTCTTCGCTCTGCACAAGACTAAGAGAAATGGCCTGACGAGTAGCGTAGGTGCAATTGGGCAGTGGACTGTTCTTGGGAATCTTGACTTTGTCATCGGAGGAGAACTCGATCACTTTGCGACCAGGGTACAGCGGGTTTGGTGGTGGAGGTGCTGGGTAAGGATTCAACTTCTCAAAAGAAGGGGCTGCCCCATCTTCTCCTGTTGGACCATCCAGGCTGCCCTGGCTTCGACACATGCCATTTACATGCTGCTGATCAGAACCAGCTCCCACAGGAGGCCTGGCATGAACAGGACACCCGTTTTCACGCCCTCCACTGTTGTCTTGGGGTCCTGTCATGTCCACGTGTACGAACACATCTTCAGCCACTGGCCGACCTGCACTGCTGCTAGACTGGGCTGAGTTGAGCACCAGGGGCTCCGGCTTCTCAAGAACACGAGCGATCACTGAAGTGGGCACTACGTCTGCGGGAGTCAGGCTTAGAGTGTCAGGATCCTGGGCTTGAGCTCCCTGAGAGCCCTGAGTCTTGTTAGGCAAGCTACTCTTCATGTGCTTGTTCACCATGTCCTGTAGCTCATATGGCAACTGCAAAACATTGTAGAGAAAATAAACACACAAACAAACATGACAAAGGTTTACTTTTCCTGCAGTAGAGCTCATTTTAGAAATTGGTTTTCAATGTTAAAATGACAAGTTATCCATCAACCTGAAAAAATCCTGGATAATGAGAACTTTATTGTAACCACCAGCAGGCATTCAAATGGCCTTATTTTGAATAGATAATCAGAGTTAATTCAGTTTCTAGGCATAAGACGTTTTAAGGACCAGCCTTAAAATATGAATGCATAATTCTTGCATGGAACACAAACTGGGAAAACACTAATGTTTACACTGTCTTTCTCATGCAATAGGCGCAACTGTGATTAGGGGAAATCAAACTCCAAAAAGAACAAGACAGTACTATAAAATAGTCCATGCAATTTTCTTCTGTGTTCCAAGAAAGAAAGTTTGGAATAACACCAAGGTAAATAAATGATCTCAATCTTTTGCTTTTACCTTTCCTTTTTCTTGGGATCACATTTGTTGTCATGATATCTATGTAGCTTGCACATTTTGTGGATGAATCCTTTCTTGCAAGTAATCTTAAAAGGTGCAATTTCACTAACATGCACTGGGATATGAATAGGATGTTTGATGAAGCCTATCTACCATACTGCCCCAATGAAGGTTATCTCAGTCATGATCAAGAAAAACAGAAAATAGGGTTTTTCATTTAACACCATCCAATATCTGCCCGGCCTAGAAGAATAAAGAGTAAGCAGCTCACCTCAAATTAGATTATTACTGAAGAGGGGTGAGACAGACAGAAAGAGAGAGAGACTAAAAGAAAAAAGGCAGGTGATGAGGCCTTTATTTCATTCTGTATTGTGACACAATTTAACGAAGCCAGGCCAAGTCATTGATTTGTGGAAAAAAGGCAGGGAAAATCTGTGATCACACAGTCCCGCTCAGCTTTATGTTGTAACGATCCTTTGGGGCAGCAATTACTCACAAAGCCCTTACTTCCTCTGAGCGTGGGGCACGGGAGAATTGATCTGTCCAGACCACACTTCCAAGCATGACCCCCCCATGGCCTTCTAGCTCAGAAATCTACATGACGCTGCCTAAATTAATTGTCCCAGAGGGCATTAGTATCCCATGACCACTGCAACATCACATGCTAGTGTGGGAAGTCAGATGTTACACAAAGTGCTACAATATTCCAATCACTACGGTACGCAAAACAAGACTTCTTTCTCCCACAGAAAATGAGGACAGCTCCGATATCTTTACAGACCATTCAATGACCATCTGATGCATAAATGCACTAGCACGTAAACAATACTATACATCCTTGATCACCTGTTTTGTGCTTTCAGTGTTATATCCAATTTCATTCTTACTTGCCCCTGATCATTACATAAAATAAATGGAATTGTGGTTGGTAAAGTATACTTAAGTTTTGATGTGAACACTTAGTGTATACATACAGCCAAACACATAAGCATTCAAAGTAGACTCCATGTGCACACAACCACCTGACAAATGCGCACTAGAAAGTTAAATCTTTGTCCAGTGTCTAAGCTATTTCTCTACAGATGTTACGACTGAAAAAATGTCTTAAATCTGGAGTTGCGAATATCTCTTAACCAACTCGCACAAGGTCTCTGGTAGTTTGGTCGTTCTTCTGTCACTTCCATTTCTTTTTTAGATCGTGAAACAAAGACCTGGGCTAGTGTTGCCACCTAGTGGGCCAAATAATTCAAAGTGTGCATGTGTGACCGCTGTTAAAAATTGGGTTGCACATGTACGATGCTGATGACGAAATTTACATCACAAGCACTGTACACGTATATCCTTGCATACACATAAAAACTGAAGTATACTTTAGGTTTCAATCCGATACACGGCTCTTGGACTGGACCTTATTCTGTAAGTCAAAAGTCTGGCTACAAGCTCAGCCTCTTAAATGGCACCAAACACATACAAAATTGCAATAGCACTTGCGTAACCATTTAGTGGTACCAGCATCTTCTTTAGCTAGTGGCATGCTAGTCGTCATCTTTCTAAGCTACCCTTACAAAGACAAGTTACAATTCTACTCATTTTTGCAGTGACCTACACTTAACCGTCAAAGACTGCATGCCAATTACTGTGCATAATTTCCATCTTTAGCTAAGTATAGAGAATTGGCTCTACATGAGAGCCACTATAACAACTCTCAGATTCCCAGCACTGGACTGAAACATAATGGCTCTCAAGTTCTCAAAGCACTTCTAAAGCTGTGATAGAATACACAAATGGCCTGTTTGATGCATATGCACTTCCAGTGCAGTTCAGTTTGACATTCATTTGGAGAATTTGGAGAATGATGCTTCACAAGTGGATGCTTTACAATAGTGGCTTTATGTTAGCAGTAAAGGATGAAAAGAGGTAATGGCTTTGGCTCAGTCGAGCCTTAAAATAACCCAAGAAACAGTCTGTGGTCTCTGCTTACAGAGTAATGAATTACAGAGCTCACGAGAGCAGGGCAAGAGGATAATCTGGACAGTGAATCAAATATCTTCTAGGTTCCAGTGAACTCACTCCATCACTACAGTTCTCCTAGAGAGATAATAATTCTAGAGATTAGTCACTGCTGTCAATTCAGTAAATTAAAAAAGGATGAAGAAAGATCCTTTGTGAATGAATTGCTGCCAAGGAGGAAGATCCTGCGCCCACACTCTCTCACTCAGCCAATATGGCAAGTAGATTTAATGCCATCTTTCGCTGCATAACCTAAAAGTTTGGACAAACGTAACTGAATTTCTCATGCTCTTCAAAACATGGGGTCCTGCTAAAATATTTGAATTAGTTTAGAAAAGATAACTACAAATTGTGCCTATGAATTAATGTCTTTACAAAACTAAAATTGTTATATATAAATGGAAATTTTAAATGCATGAATTGGATCAGTAAAGGAAAAGCAGGCAACAAGTGTCCCAACTTCAATATTGTTGGAGTTGGCTGAGAGAATGATCATTTCAATTTTATACCAATCTCTACACAAAAAAAACCTCATAAAAATAACTAAATATAAAAAAGGTGCTTAGAATTAATGCATTTAAAACAAGACAAGCAGTTCAAATAGCAAATACGAAAAAAGTGTTGCCCTCGATTTGGCCAGGACTTAATGCGGTTTGCAGAATAAAACAACAAGGGCAGACAGAGTGATAGATGGGTTTAATGTAGAGCGCAGGCCACAGGTGATAATGTCCTGATGTGTTCAATACCCATATGCCCATGGGGTCAAGCTGTCTTATCATACGTCTCTGTTCTTGTACACACAGAGCTGTCCATCAGCCTGAAATCTGTCCTATTTTCCCCCACGGACAGACACAAAGGCCAAACAGACGGATGTGTCTGGAGTTTGGCACCTTGTCAATACTGTGCCTTTTCTCTGCCAGCGAGACCGTCCGTATCCAAAGACCAGCCATGTCTCGCAGCACGACTGACACTCTCCATGCTAAACACTGCCATAAAGCACATCCTGCGGACATGGCTATTTTTATTTTTTTTAAATCCTCGCCCTCTCTCTATTCTCTTGGTCTCTTTCTCTTCATCTCTCCCTCTGACTATTCCTCTCTGATCCTAGTCCATAAAATCAGAGGTCCATGTCCATAACAATAAAGTCACTGGGCAATCGTGCACTCTCTCCCTCTCAGCACCATCCACGAGTGTCACTGCGGATTGCAAAACACATTCAGACTCCAACAAGTCCTGTGCTGCAGGGATAGTTCAGAAAAAAATGAAAATGCTGATATCATTTACTCATCCTCATGTCATTCCAAACCGGATTTATTTTCTGCAGAATATGCCAGCTGTTCTTTTACATACAATGAAAGTGGATTGCAAGCTTTACTGCAAAGCTTTTATTAAATATGTAATATACATTAAATATTTAAACTTCAGGAGATCGTTTTTGACAGTTGTGTTGCATACACACACTGACTTTGGGTTTGGTCTGTTCTAGCTATAGAATGGCTTCAGAATATAGGGTACAGGATAGATGGACAGCTGTTTTTGGAGCATGGAAACTACAACAGTTATCAGCTTTTGCTGTATAGAAAAGTGATGCTCACACAATGTGCTTAACAACATAAGCTTTTGTGCTTTACAAAAGTCAGAGGGGATCGAAACAAACATGAGGGTGAGTAAATAACAGAATTAGATTGTTTGGTGAACGGTTCCTAAAAATGTTGGAGGGGGTGTGCTTTAAAACTGAGAAACAGTTACTACTACTTACATCAGCAAACTTGTGATTCCTGAAATGCGATTTATTGCACTTTAACAGCTGCACAGCCAAATTGCAATCTTGCCGATACCGTTCCTACATGAGGAGACAAAATGTATATAAGAACAAGCGTCAGGGAAACAGATGAGAACACATCAAATAAAGAAGAGGGTCATCAACGTCAACTTTTTGGAATGACACTTTACTTACAGTGAACTGAAATGGTCATTTATGAAAGAAGAAAAGCAAATACACACAGTATGAGTCAAAAGTTTGGACATATGCATGTTTCACAGTCTGTTGAGTTAAAGGCTTGAAATTTGAAATCAGTTTTGTAAATGATTATAAACTGTGCTTACAAATTAATTATTATTATTTTTTTTAAATGTAAACTCTTAGCTTATTTTAATGTCCAATTTTTGTCAGCATAAAAAAAGAGGTGAATTTTTAAGCAGGTTTTCTTTTACAGGTAAAATGAGCCAAAAAGAAGATTTAACTCTCACTAAAAAGTAAAAAATAAATAAATAAATAAATTTAAAAAAAAAAAATATATATATATATATACATATTAAATGTCCATGAGAAATATTCAAAACTAATGCAATACAGAATTGCAAGCGAAATATATATAAAAACCCTAGTGGGCTGTGGACCCCTGGTTAAGAACTACTGCTCTAATATGTAAAAAAAAAATACAAAGTAATAACAATCTTAAGTATGAGTAGTTCTGTGTCCAAACCTTTGACTGACACTTTATAAGTAAAACAAGGAAAATGGCACCCAGGCTAGCAGTCTTCAGGATTCATAACTAAAAAGCCCATAAAGGGAAAAAATTGTCCTAACATCAACCTCAGAGGAAGGAGCTATGATTGATGTGTGCTCTATCTGTCTAAGGAGATGAAGCGCTCGGTTTAAACACTGAACAGACGGCTATCAGTTTCTCCAGTGCTATAATTAGTTCCCTGTGGCACTGTTTCATACATGTGGTGTAATAAACGCACATTTCAGAACGAACTGCATTCTGGTGCTTTGTTATTCCTTGTGGATTTACTTAAAATCTTAAAAAAACATTGTCAGAATACCAATCTGTCGGTTAATTTACAGTCCTGTGTGCAAAGCGAATTTGAAGAGAAGAATAGTGTTTATATAATTTGATAATCTGCCCTTCCTCATGCAACCTGATCATTGTTTTTTTTTTTATTTAAAAATGCTAGCCTTGTGGGAAGTGCATGTTGAGTGGTGTTGTTTATGTGCAGTTGATTCAACTTTGAATCTTAAAATCAGAACGAAACGAATTAGGAGACTTTCCCGTGTTCCCAGTAAAGCTCCAAAAGCCAGACATCATTTCTGGAATCTGACAGTAGACTTCTGTGAAATCTCAGCACAGATCCTCTTCATGCAACTTTCAGTTTTCAGCTCCAGTAGTTATCAATCCCAGTAACACTGCAGCTCTGACAACTCGAGTCCAAAACGTGCCTCAAACACAAACACACACAAAGCTCTGCTATCGCACGTACATTCAGTTCCTCCAGCTTGTCGATAGTGTTTTTGGCATCCACGAGTTTATTCGTGAGCTCCACTATCTCTTGATCCATGGTTTTCTTGTCTCTTTCCACTTTACGGAGCTGTAAGGAGAAAAAGGACATTCATATAAACTTTAACGTAAAAGGTCTCAGATGAGGTTCAACCTCTCTCTCTTAATACAAAGAACACCAGTAGCCATTTTTGGTTTAGGGGGAAACAAAAACACACAAAAACATGTTTTCCTTCAGTCCTAAGTACATTGCTGACAATGCACCAGCTGCAAAGAAATAGTAATTAATAATAATTGTATAGCCTGAATGCACTGTAAGTCGCTTTGGATAAAAGCATCTGCTAAATGCATAAATTATTATTTATTATTATTATAATTCAAAGAGCCTGGAAATGTGGTTGAGGCACAGTACATAGGGAAAACAAATAAAGCAGGTAAGGAAACATATTGACTGAATCTCATTGAAAATAAGCATCACTTTCCCTTGGCGTGTCTCATTCTCTGTATCTCAAACATTTCTGTCCAATTAGCTCGGTCTTTGATAAAACAACTTTACTTACCCTCTTGTGTTTTCAAACTCAGAATCTATTTTATTTTATTTTTCATACAACGACAGCTCATACTGATCATATCTGTCAAGCTCCAGAAAGAAACAAGAACCATTCAACCATACACTACCATTCAAAAGTTTGAGGCTGGTAAAGAGTTTCATTGTTTATTGTTACAATATTAAATACAGCGTTCTGGCATGAAACTCTAGATGGCGCAGTCCGATAGGTCTAACTCAATCTGACCTAATGACATCAATATCACATGGCACAGCTGATTGGTTCTCTCCTGTATCGGTAGCCAATGAGCTCGCTGCTCAACATTCAAATATATGACTAGTGCTTGCCGTAGCAGTTGCAGCTTGCTTCAGAAACCCTCCACCTTCCCCAGCTCCACCTGTATAGATCTGCTACGAGGTGATTCATGTATGCTATATTGTGGTTATTTCATGTATGTTATATTTGCAGCAGCAATATTTCTTACATGCTCACAGCAGCATGTTGTGGATGCATTGGTAGTAGGTCTCGGTACTTGCTCTGCAGCAGCGTAGCAGATCTATTCCGCCAAGACCAAATACATTAACATTGTCATGTACATTACCATGTTAATCTCTCAGAGAGTTGTCATGACAGAAATGTCCTTTTTAAATTTTTTTTATATATTTTAAATGTAATTTATTCCTGTAATGCAATGGCTGAATTTTCTTTGATGCAAAGCTTTCAGTATCACATGATCCTTCAGAAGTCATTCTAATATGACGATTTGCTGCTCAAGAATAATTTCTTATTATTATAAGTTGTTGAAAACAGTTGTGCTGCTTAATATATTTTGAAAACCGTGGTATATTTTTTTCAAGACTCTTTGGTGAATAGATAAAAAGTTTATAAAAACCAATTTAAGAATAGCATTTGAAATAAAAAATTACTTGGTAACATTATAAATGTCACTTTTGATGAGTTTAATGCATCGCTGATGAACAGAAGTATTAATTTACTGACCCCAAACTTTTGAAGGGTAGTGTAAGTCATAAGATAGCTTTGTATGAAAACATTTAAAAATTATGGTTATTCACGGTCATGATCTTCACTGAACTGGAACAGTGTATATGAATAATGAAGAACTTCAGTTAGTTTTCTTATACAGCAACATCATATTCCTTCAGAGGACCTGAAACATAATGCACACATCATATAGAATATTTTTATGCTATTTTTCCTTTTTTTTGTCTCAACCATGGTCAGTATAAGCTGTTGTTGAAGATTTTCCAAAAAATTGTCCTTTGTGTTTTATGGAAAGAATAAAAGCATCAGACAGCCAGTGATTGTGTGCTGTCTGACTGAGGCTGAGACTACAGACAATTACCACTCCAGCTATGTCTATACGCATAAAATGTCTTCTGTCTGACTTCCTGTCTGAGTTCAGTGGTTTTCTAATTCAGAAGTGAGAGTGCTGTCTGAAGACACTTCACTCCTGCTGTGATGGCAAAGTCCGAAATGTCTTTGTACTAAAATGTCTGAACAAAAGCTCTTGAAAGAACTTAACAGAAGCTTTACTACTTAAGACACACTTCAGCCCTGCCGGCTCTTGGTTTAAGTGGAGACAGAGAGATACAAAGAGAGACACTGAGAAAAAGTAGACAGAAACTGTGACCCTTAATCTGGAACTTGGCATGTCCATAACAAAGCAATTATCTTTATAGTCACTGTTTGACTGAAGTGGACAATGTGGACCAATAAAAGAGTGTTAAGGAGGGGGCAGCCTTTCAACACAATGCAGAGTCCACATGTAACAACAGCAATGCAACAGCCAGTATAATGCACAGCACATCTGACGGAAACAGGGATAGAAAGGAGGGAATTTTATCACATTAACAGCTGCATTCACATCATCCAAAGTTGTAGTCAAGTGGTCAAAATACCAACAGTGTCTGCGCTTTAGTGCTACTCTAAAAGGTTTCATAATTGACTAAGAATACATAATTTATTTAGGAAATATATGCCCGTATAATATAATGTGTCTGTCTACCTGCAAAAGATGCAAAATTATAATTTGCAGCTATTGAAATATCGTTATATCGTGAATATTGTTAATTAACAACAACAAAAGTTTCCGCTGACAACCCATTTATGTGAGCAGAACAGAGCAAAGTAAATAGTAGGGCTCCAGAAGTAAAAGTCCCATTCTTTTTTTTTTCATAAAGAAAAAAAAAATCAGCAGTAAACGTTTAAAGAAAGTCCTAACATGAAAAATATTCATAATCATGTGTAATTACACAGTTCCCCATGAAGTACTACACTACCCATAATCCTAAAGAGAAATCAACCAATCATGGCAAAACATTACATTCACTGTACATTCCCATAAAGATCTGACAATCAAACCTCTCTACACTCTCAAACTATTTTTATGTTTGAGTATTTTGTAATAAGAATTGTCTTTATATATTGTTTTTAAACAATGTTTTAACTGTTTCCAAACGTAATCAGTAGTTTTATAATTAATCACTGCTGAAACTGAAGGTCTTCACAACAACCTGTCAAAATAAAAACTTTAATTTGAAGAAACTGTGACAGAAATATGGTTTGGGTTGGTAAATGAAAGTGAGCGGTCTGACTGTTGAGCTTTGCCGTGATTAGTTGATCTCTCTTCAGGATTAGGGGTAGTGTAGTGCGTGGCCACTGTTATTGAACACTTCACTAATGGACTTAGAAAAGGGATTTTATTACTCACTTTCACACAGAATGGCCCAACAAATAGTGTTTCTATCTTGGAGTGGCCTTAAATGCTGTAAAATATCATTTGTAATTCATTCATACTCATGAATATTTTATTTTCTTAGTGTTTGCTGTGCATTTTAACCACTGTGTTAAACATTTGGACTGCACTTTATGGGGTGACATCTATCCCAGAATCCCCCTGTCCACATGCACAGACACGGGCATGGCCACAGCTATATCCAGCCATCTACTACAGGAAGAGAGGAGAGGAGACAGGAAGGAGATGCAGTGACTCATGGGAATGATATCTACAGCGATACTTATTGGGAGAGCAGAGACAGACAGAAGGAAATGGAATAGAAAGAGAATGAGAACGCAACTGCGTAGACCCAAGTTTGACTGATGGCAGCCTGATGATGACGAAGATGATGATGAAGAATATGGTGAAATACCCAAAGTCACAAGGCAGCATGAGGGGAGAGGAAAGGGAGAAGAAAGAAAGGAAGAGAAAGATAATTTTGCGCTTTTTCTTATATTTCCATTAACCTGCATGTCTGCAAGTATTAAATGAGAGAAAGACAAGTACAGACAAGAAAGGAAGAGGACAGAAAGATAGAAACTAGTCATAAGAAAGACACAATATATTTGCACACTTCTGGATCACCACTTTATCATTTAGTTAGAAATGATTAGAGCCTGACCGATATATCATTTTGCCGATATTGTCGGCCGATATGAGCCTGTCACAGATATATCGGTATCTGCGAATACGTCACCGATATGAAAAATTTTTTACAGAACATATAACGCAGATTAAATGCTTCTGAATGGTGTAATTACTTAGTTTGTCCAGCAGAGACTGTTTGCTGTATATTGTTTGCTACTGGCGAGTCCAAATAAATGCTTCAAATAAATTATCCGCCCGCTACCCACTCACACCTGTATTTGATTGTCACATTACAATGATTCTAATTCTTAGTTTTGCATGATGATATGATGAATGGATGGTTAATTTTTAACAGCAGATTCAGTGGCGTTAGAGCTGACACGTCTGCGGCGCATACGGTTCCGCGGCCACTCAGTCAATGCTGGTGTTTATACCGGCCACGCCGCGGCCCACAGCTCATGCTTATCACATCGGTCACATCACATTTCCTAACTGGGTGTCTACACCGGACGCGAGCGGCGCGACAAAATACAATAGAACCCATTATAATCAGTGATGTTGTCTACACTGGATGTGGCGCGATGCGACACGACAAATCCCGACAGTAAACCTATGCCTCGTTCTATTTATGACATGCTGACACAGAGTTCAAATGATTTTAAATGGTCGCTTTGTCGCATCCTGTTGCGGCGCAGACACGGTGTCAGCATAGTTTGTCAGTACAGTCAATAACGTAGCAGATTAAAAAGTTAGTATCTTTCGGCAGTCCAATAGACGGCAGTGTGGTGGTGGCTTGAGTCGTTTGAATGGTGATTTAACGCTACGTTGTCACCTAGTTGGAGAGACTTAATGCTAAAGTAAATACACATCAATGTCCCCGTCTTTTACTTTCACAATGAGCTTATCATATTCGTTTGCTACATTTGTAGGGCCCTATGATTTCCGTGATGCAGAGAACATGGATGGAATCGCGGAATCCAGTCATAAAAACGGAATTTACTGTATAACGCGGAATTTCATGGAATTTGTCTTATTTTTGATGAACAAATAAAAAACAGGTCAGTACACTTAAATCAAATCGCGATATAGACTAGTGTCTGTTAATATTAAACTGCAAAAAGACTATTTAAATACGAATCCTAATGTTCTGCATGTTCATTTGATTACCAGAAAATACACAACACAGAATTTGTGAAAAATATTATTTATTATTATTATTTATTCATTTTAGATGTTTACATTTGGAAAAGCTGTGCTTCCTGCATAAACCTGCCCCTGTTGGATTGGCAGTAGCTTGCTTGCCCTACACAGTTACCTTGTTTATTTTCTTAATTCAAGTTATATATATTTTGTTCTATTTGTGTTTTTTAAGTTATTTATAATAAGTGAACTTTACTGTTAAGTGCACTGATGTCAGACTCATTTAGAATAATAAAGTTTATTGTTAAATTGTTAAATACCCTGCCTCCATTACATAGGCCTATGTTTGTCACATCATTATAAGTGTTTGATCACCACATTTGAGTTATTGCAAAAAATGTTTATGTATATATATTCTGTTTATGTATATACTGTATTCTATAGTACCAGTCAAATGTTTGGACAAACGAATGGGAAGTGTGTCCAAACTTTCGACTATACTGTACAATAATATAGCCTACACAAAGAATATCGATATCAGTCTTTTTTTATTCCACAATATCGGTATCGGCCCCCAAAAAAACACATATCAGTCGGGCTCTAGAAATGATTATCCTGTAAAACTTATCAACTACAATTAAACCTATTAAAAACTGTTTTTGGTAAGTGAAGTTGAGTGGAAATAAAGCTAGACAGAAACATTTATCAAGACAAACTTTGATGTTGGCTTGAGAAAGACTGACCAGTAGTTGAGAATAGAGTTGATATATTTTATAGTTTTGATTTTGAAGAGAGATAGAGAGATGAATTCTGCACTTAATTTCAAACAAATTTCAATTCTCTCTCTATGCTTTTCAATCATTGTTGAATATGCTGTATTAACCAACCAGAAACGCGGTTGCAAATCTAAACTAAAAACAGATTTCCACATTCTTGCTGCTTGCTGATTGTATTTGGAGATGATTTCGCTAAACCAGTACTCTGAGTGAGCTCGTGTCCTGAGAGCACCTACGGTAAGACATGATGGGCCCTTCACGAGGTGGAACAGGTCGGCCGGGATAATTCCCGTGTCCACGATGAAAGATTACTGAGCAGAATGCCACCTGTTTCACCTGTGATTGGCAAATCTTTATGCAGAGGTCATGGATATGAGATCTCACCATGCAGAACTAAGACACCGCTGGGATTTAATTGAAAATGAACATAAATCATCAGGAGCTAATGCTATCCTTATACACGCATGGAGTCTTCAGACGTGATTAAGAGAGAGCGACTCGTTCTGAAGTTTTCCAGTCATGCTAAATTACTCTAGAGATAATTTTGCAGACCACCTAAGAGTGATAAAAGATTCCTAAAATAACTTATTATAGATGCATGTTTGATTAAATTTTCATTTGAGCGAAACTGGAAAAAGGCAGTCGGGGGAAAATTTAGATTCATATTGGCTTTAATAAAACATGGAATCCTTTAACAATTTATTACAACAACCAACAGCAGTTTCCAAAGATATTTTAATGAATGCATCACACTGAACACAGGACGCCCGGTTTCTGTGATGCACAATCACATTCAAATAATCTTTAAATCGCATTCATCCTAATTGAATAACATTGTCGGGGGACGACAGCAGTCTATGACAGTTATTATGATGTATTAGAACATCCAGTGGGAATTGTTTTATACTCAGTGAAGAAAAAGAGGCTTAGGTACAAATTTGTACATTTATTCAATCTTTAGCTTTTGATGTTGTTCATTTTTTTCCGGCTCTCGATTGTTCTCAGACAATTACTTTGGCTTTGTTTGAGTGGTAAAGCACAGAAAATTTTCATCCAAACAAAGCTTTTATGAAAAAAAAAAAACATGCTGAGTTCTGTCTACTACCAAATCGCCTGACTGATCCATCAGCATGGCCTTAACTGTGACAATTATGACCACAACCAGAGTGGTCATTCAGGGCCCTCTGCATTTCTTCTTCTTTTTTTTTTTTTTTAAAAGCAAAAAACATCAATGGCAAATCAATCTTTTAGAAGGGAGCGGAATCTTTTTTTATTTCTTGTGACTGAATTTTAAACAGTACTGGAGTGGCAAATGAATGACAGCATGACAACACTGAAGTATCATGGGTCTTTTCCTGTAGAAATGTTTTATAATTTAAAAATGAATACATTTAACATTAATGCTTGAAAGTCTTTGATGCACTTAAAGGGACAGTTCACCCAAAAATTACCATTCTCATCATTGTTTCAATCTCAAGTCATTCCAAACATGCATGACTTTCTTTTCTGTGCAACATAAAAGGTGAATTTTTGATGAAAATCCTGGTCACTCTTCAAATTTATGTAAATGCAGGGATGTCTCGAAGATGGCGCCGACGCTGATGGCTGCCTCCGTGGCGTGCTCCGCAGTTGTTTTTATGTTTTTGTTAGTTTGATCTCCAAAATACCAAAAATTGTGGTATAAATGACGGTTTTGAAGCTATTCCATAGATTTTTGAGGCCTTTTCGGAGGTTGCCAGCTCTTATTCAAATTATAAGTCTAACACATTGAAAAGATAAATACATTATTCAAAGTTAGTGGTTGACAGATATATCACCAAGGCTGATGTACCCGCCAATATTTAGTAAAAAATATTTGGCATATTTGGTAAAAGCTGGGACGTCTATTTTGACAGCACCAATTAAAGATTACAAGGGCACGTGAATTAAAAAAGTAATAAATAAATAATGATGTGCATGTATAAATTATTTATAACTGCAATATTCTATACAAAAAATAAGAACTGTCCATTTTGATTTTATTGTTACTTTAAATTGTGTTATGTGATCTATATCAGTTGACCTATTCATAATTTCCCTTTGTCTTCCACAGCAGTCAGGTTTGGAACGACAAGGGAGTTAGTAAACAATGATTTCTCATTTTTTCGCATTCACTTTTGGGTGAACTAATCCTTTGAGAAAAAAGAAGAACTGGCAAAAATCCTGGATTCTTTCTGATGAATGTAAAATGCATTATTTGTTAAACCACTCGCCCATACATTTATTGTAAACGTTCTCAGTAGAGTAGTGTATCGCCAACAACTGGCAACAGCTGAAATTTTTAGGAAAATCATGATAACAGGACTGTGCTTATACACTGTTTTATGCACAGCAGTGAGATGAGAGCAGTGGGAAGTGACTATGATCGTCTATGGCATGATTATTTGCCCATCACAGCTCATCTATGAAGGCAGGGTCCAAAATGAACATCCAGAAAGAGCTAAAAGTGAGTCAGATTTGGCTTTACACTTGGCGAGTAAACAAAACTCACAGTTGGTTTGTAGCAGAACTGCAACAATTTAAACACAATGCAAGAATAATGGCGTTTTTATCTCAAGTGCGAATCAGAGCAACACAATTACTGTTGCTTGTCTTCAAACAACAATTTTCCCAGTTGAAAATTAACTTCCTGCATGCATGAGTGGCATGAGGAATACTGTTACTTGTTTGTTAGTCCCTGGAGAATGAAGCAAAGCAAAAGGTTCCTCAATTACAGTTCATAATACTTGTGACGAACTGACTGAGAGAGTGGCGTCGTTAGGGCACACGGAACAATTAAACGGCAATTAAAGACATCAGTGTTTAAGATAAAAGACTTTAGAAAGGAAAAGTGAAGTGGAGTGTAAAGGTTACCAGGGCGTGAAGTTTCTCCTCCAGGTCTTGATTAGCTCTCTGAGATGCCGTGTAGCTGTTCTGCAGTCTGCGGGGGGAAAACAAAACAAATATATGTCACTGTCAGGGTATAAAGCTATATCCAGATGTTATATGATATATGCTGGTGCGGTGTGGCATTGAGTTGGGAATATGGCATCAAACAACGCAGGAAACAACAGGATTTCGCTGCTGTGCTGGGAAATGCTACTGCATCCTGTCAGCTCGCTGAAGCTCACTAGAGCTCGCCACAGCTGAAGGCAGAGGTACAGCAGCTGAAGAAATATTCACAAGTTATTGCAATAATAAGACCTTATATTTCAAACACAGAATTGTAAGAGAGTGTGTCTGATATTAAAGTCATTAAATCCTCAAGCGGTCACAACGCCATGTGATCTTTGATGTTCACTCACTTAGCACACGCATCATTTGGATTAAAACTAAATCGTAAAAATAAGACCATTTATAGGGGCATTCACTATAAACATCATTTATTTTCAACCTTAGGCATACACGACTTTCTGGCGAAAGTGAAACTAACAGCCTGTGTGAAATGCGCTAGGCTGTACTACTGTCCTCTCATTCTGCATCAGTACAAATACCTGCAGGCATGCGCGTGTTTTGCTTGCTTGTGTGTTTCTGCATTATATGAGTGGCTTTGGAATATAAATCGCAGCACGTTTCAGATGAAAAAACGCGACTTCTATTTCTGGAAAAAGTGGTATCGGTGCATCCCTATCTAAAATAATTGTTTTCTACATTAATATATTTTAAAATGTCATTTTTGATGCAAAACTTAATTTTCAACATCATTACTCCAGTCTTCACTGTCACATGAGATAATTTTAATATGCTGTTTTGCTGCTTTCATACAAACATTTCTTATCAATGCTGAAAATAGTTGTGCTGCTTAAAATTTTTCTGGAAATGGTGATACATTTTTTTCAAATGCATGACAGGTCTTATTGCGAATAATTTATCCATGTAAGTTTCATTTTTTTACATTTTGTTTGGACATATTTGATCAAAATGCAACACCCACATCTCAAAATCCAATCAACAACCGATAGACGGAACCCCTCACTACATTTTTTTTCTTTTTTAATAATCTGTAACACTTATACGTCTTAATGAGGAAGAAAAGATCTGTTGCCACTAGGGCTGCCCCCTAATAGTCGACTAACCATTAGTAAGTTACGGACAGGTAATTAACAGCTAGTCTATGTGGTAATTACAGTACATTGGTCGTTTCGACCTCAAATGTGGTTTATGATCTGAAACATATAAGTAGTAGTAACATTACATTTAATACACACTTTAATGTTAACCTAGAAAAATGTGCACTATTGAAGTGCGGAGTGTGGAAGATGCATGACAGTCAACTTAGAAGAGCCGGAGCGATCACTTGCATTAAACTTAAAATACTCCATCATTTTTGCTCATACAGATAAGAGTAATAAATCCTTCCAATCTGTGAAAGGTATACTTTTATTTGTGTGCACTCACAATAACAACAAATCATTGTGCTTTTGTAAAATAACGAAAGCAAACAGGGTGCGCTTTCTGCCGTCTAAGTCTCTGCGAACTTGAGCGCATCAAAAAATGTATGAATTAACCAAAACTCTGTGTTTGCCTCGCAGACATTAACAATATATCTAGCCTATAGAAAATGTCTACTTTTAAATGAATCAATTCAAATGGAAAACATATGTTTATATTTGTCCATAAAAGTGTGAGTCCACTGTGGAGTTGACGAGTCTTCACTGCAGCCGAAAATACAGAAAACACTTATCATTATCAATGAATAATGATGTTAAAGCAGTCTTCTTACTATTTTCCCGAAGAATTCATAATCATTACTGCCGGTGTGCTATGGCAAGCTTTATGTGTGCGCTGGAGCGCTGATAGGCTTTAGGCAATTAAAGGCTCATTATTATGAATTATATAGTTTATTAATATAAATGTGTGATTAGTCGATTAGTCGAAATGAACGACTATTAGCAGGGCCGCATTAAGACCTCACTGGGCCCTGGGACTATGACTTACTGCAGGGCCCCCCATCACAATAATCAAATAGCACTAATAAGTGGGGGCGTGGTGGGGCTTTGGCGACTGGCGCTTCAGTCAATCTACTCCACAGCCAATCACAGGCCCCCTCGTTGCTCGGGCCCTGGGGCTTCAGCCCATCCTAGCCCTATTGTTAATCCAGCCCTGACTATTAGTCGACAAGAAAAATCTTTAGCCCTCGAAGTCCTAGTTGCTACTTCCTTTTCTCAGCAAATTTAACGATACTAATGCAGAGAACAGAAAGCAGTACCGTGCCCAAAATTGCCCTAAAGTGTCCATTAGATGTGTGAAAATATGTTAATCAGAGTATTTCGCCTACTATTTTATGAACGTTGTTTACGAAGACTTACTGCCATTTTACATTGTGCTTTTTGGATATTTTATAGTACATAAGTCTACATTTATGAGGAAACAAAAATGGATAGTTCACACAAAATGAGAAATCTCTCATCATATGACTTACTTCCAGTTTCTGAAAACTATCCTGGCTCTTTTCCATATAACTGAAGTGAATATGCATTATGATACCTTTATGCTGCTACTTTTGTCATTTTGCAGCTTGATAGTTCCAACGTTTCTCATTATATGGAAAACAGCAGCCAGGATATCCTCCAAAAACTTTCTTTTGTGCTTCAAGGAAGAGAGAAAGCCATATGGGATTGGAACAATTCCTTTAATAATTTAGACAGTAATTAGTATGTTTAATATTTATTTAATATGAATCATTTACACAGCACTTTTTCAGCGGTTAAGGAGTATTAACCCTCTACTGCACACATTTTGATGGTACATGATAATAAATTATTCCACATTTTTTGGTTTATTTGGGAACATTTTATTGATAAAACATTTTTTGACCTCCACTCACCCCAAAATATTTTTTTGTTGCCTTAGAGCAGTGGTTCCCAACACTGCACATTTTGCATGTCTCCTTTCTCTGACGCACCAATTTCAGGCCTTGCAGTCTCTACTAATGAGCTGATGACCTGAATCAGGTGTGTTTGATTAAGGATACATGCAAAACATGCAGTGTTGGGGTGCCTCCAGGACCAGGGTTGGGAACCACTGCCTTAGAGCAACGTTGTGCAACAATGGTGCAGAATCACAGAGAAAATTCTCCATTCACATATCATAAGACAATGTTCAGAGAGCAATACAAAATCACAAATCTGTCAAAAAATGTCAAGAAATCATTAAGTGAAAGGGAAAAACACTTGAAACGCATTTGATATATTGCATTTGATACAGACAGTCGTAGTGCAGGGCTGGGAAACTTCGGTCCTGGAGGGCCACTGTCCTGCAAAGTTTAGCTCCAACCCTAATTAAACACACCTACCTGTAGCTTTCTAGTGATCTTAAAAGACATTCATTAGCTGGTTCTGATGTGTTTGATTAGGGTTGGAGTTAACTCTGCAGGACAGTGGCCCTCCAGGACTGAAGTTTCCCAGCCCTGATGTAGTGTCGTGTCATATCATGTACTTCATGGAATGAGATTTTACTCTGTGTGAAACTTCAAAAAGCGCTTCTTCTCTGCTGTGAAACAGAGGTGCACGTTACACTTTTTGCACATCACTTTGGGTGTTCCTGTGCACCCAGGAACCTTGCATCTTCCCTTTTTGTCACACATTATTTGCCCGTATGTATTGTCAATGGGAAATCCTGGTTAGGGATGGGAGCCGTGGACTAGAGGTCTTCACGGGTCCACTTGGATCCGAAAACCCGAGGTCCGACCCGAGACCCAAGCGGGTTCGGGTCCAAAACATCGACGAGTACCTCGGACACGGGTCGGGTTCGGTATTGGCGGCCTTGGGTCTCGGGTAATTTAAAATAAACATGCTTTTCCCAAATGGACCCAATTAGACCCGAATTCTTTTAAACTATCCCGAATGCGTAGGTTACTTTCACTTTCGTGTTAAGAGAGGAACGCACATAGAAAAGGAGCATACGTTCGTAATCCTCGCACACAGACATCATCTTATAGATATGAGATCCATCAGGAAAATCCACTCGCTTCATTATGCTGCGTGTTCATGCAGGGCTTTTCTTTTTTGTGTGCAGAAGCCTTTCGCCGGAGATCAGGTTGCAGACAACAGCGAATCCATGATTAGGCTATCGATTTATTTTTTATCAAACTATCACGTTTATTTTTCAAATCCACTGGTCACAATTGAAAGTGGAGCTCAGAAATACCTTGTATCCATCAGGCAGGCACTAATATAAAGTAACCTAATTATAAATTGAATAAATGTTAAATAAATCAAAGTAATGGAGAAGTGGCCAAATCAGTCAACAGGACTCCAGGATTTTTCCTGACTGACTGCGGGGCTGCAGGCTGTACACATGTCAATGCCGTTTACATTCGGGTTCGAAAATAAATGCCGTCGTGTCGAACTCGGGTCTAATTTCATCGGGTCTGTCTCGGGTTGGGTTTTTCTTTAAAAAAATTTTATTTATGCACGTTGGGTTCGGGTAAGAAGTGATTCGGGTCGATTCGGGTCGGGTAGAGATTTTAGGACCCGAGAAGACCTCTACCGTGGACCCCTGCTTCCTTACCCTTTATCGCACAACGCTGCCCTGAGGCAACGAAAAGAAAAACAGAATTTCGGAACATGCAAAATAAATAAAAAAATTCATAAAACCTGACAAAAGTCTTCTCTACACCTTCATACACACACACACACACACACACATTTTATATGTACAGTTCATGTCATTTTAAATTAGATTACCAAAGCAAATAATCTTGCCTTCTTCTCACACCATGTGCAAATGGTGCTTGATAGTGATTCCCACATCTTATTGTACTGTTCTTTAATACTTTTCAAACATTTTAATTGGTTGCAGTCATTTAAAAAAAACATGTACTGAACATGGGGCATATGAAAAACTTTCCGTTGCCTGAGGGCAATGCTATGCTGTAGAGGGTTAAAGACCAAACACATCTAAGAAATAAGGCGTGGGCTACATGAGGTGATGCTGATAACATTTGATTTTATATCTTCATTGAATCAACACTGAATTCACGAAATGAGATTCAGCACAAGGTGCCAAGGCTTCCGTTCAAAAACCTTTAGAAGGTAACATTGATTTGTGCTTACAAAGACCATCTGGCCTGCATGGCACATTATCTCCAACTTCTGCTTTTCGGTTTACAGCGCAAACCTCAATCTCAATCACTCTTTCCTTCTCGTGGATCAATACTGTTCCGCTGCCTGGCAGATCATAAGAGACTTTCACTGTCTGGCTTCATAACAATTAGAATTTAATCAATTAATTTTAGCAAGCGGAGGTGATTTGCGCCGAGTCATAAACTCTAGCAGCAGTTCATATCGGCGAACGGCCGGTGCTGATGGAATGCAATTACTGCTACTTGATGACCGCTCTGAATCACAGAGGAGGGGAAGGTCCAATTGAACAGCCTCAGAAACAAAATAAATTCAATAAAAATGCACCACATAAACAGGTAATTAAGTAAACAAACAAACATCTATAACAATACCTCTCATTCAAGGGTTCCCAGAGCCCAGAGCACCTGGTGCAAATCGCCACAGCGCATGTGACAATGTTACGGCGTTAGATCAGAGATGGCATTCAAAGGCCTACGCTGCAGAATCACTAACCAATTACAATCCAATTAGGCTATTATCTGCGGAGAGCTGGCATGCAGGTTTAGGATGTGGCAGGCGGGGAAATGGAGCAGCAAATGTGAGCACCACACTTTTTTTGATGGAAGGAATGCTGGGTAATTCAATCTCTCTGCCATCTGAAACCATATAAGCCGGAGATGCATCCTGATTGGAGATAAAGTGGCATGATTGCAGCCAAATTACACACCGACTCAATCACAAAGCGCTGCACTCAGACCATCAGGGGCATATCAGGCCGATAAGAGTCCGCGATTAAATCATCAGAATCTGCACTCGGATCTGCTGATCTAAAGCTGAACTTATAACATTGTTTCAGAACAAAGTGTGAAGTGACATTTACAGTGACAAGTAATTTTTTGTCCATCTTGAAAGCCAAAATCCTGCATGAAAGAGACAATCACAGCTAAGCTATCTGAGGTTTAATATACAGTACACATATGTAATGGAATTTTGGACCAATGAGATTTCATTAGGGGCGGAGCCACTCAGCGTATTTTGACAAAATTTAAAGGGCACCTATTATGCCCCTTTTTACAAGATGTAATATTGGTCTTGGGTGTTCCCGGAATGTGTCTGTGAAGTTTCAGCCCTAAATACTCAACAGATCCTTTATTATAACAGCTGGAAAATGTCATTTTTGGGGTGTGTCTAAATGGCAAAAATGCCTGTTTAATTTTGCCCTTTAAACAGGCAAAAATGCCTGTTCGTACCAATAAGAATGTTTGGTGCACAAATTAAGTGTGATAAACATTTTAATTTGAATGAACAAACATTTGCATGCTATTAATGCAGTTTTAATTAATTAATGTATTGACATATGCACATATGTATTTTATTTTATTTATTTTACAGAGAGGTGTTCTAACTTTTTTTCCCAATCATACCATGAAGAAAACTGGTTGACCAATAAGAGTCGCTCTTTTGATCACATGTTTGGAGCTGTTTAGTGCCACTCATGAACAGACCTGGCTCTCTGTGTATTGCATTTTTTGTTGTTTGATAATCATCTTAGCGAATTCAAAAAAAAAAAAAGTGAAAGGCTGTTTGAAAACATGTTAATGTTGTTTGACTTTCTTTCTTCTCCACGACAAACTGGTGCCAGAAATGGAAAGTTGCACATTGTTAACCTCGTATTTGTGTGGGGTGTGTTTTTATTACAATTATTATAATTAAAGGCAATTATGAAAAATATTAGTCGAATCAAATCCAGAGAAAACATAAGGAAAAAATGTAAAAAAAGAAAAATACAAATAGGGTATATCAGAATGTTGATAAGCAAACAGCACATTACACTGTACACACAGCATATTGTGCTGTATTTCTCTTTTTCACACTTGTCTGAACAGACAAATTGCATTCAAATATCGGACCGAATTTTAGTACCTTAAAGATTAAATGTTCCTGGTCTTATTGTGCATTATCAGTGCACAATATTCCAAAGAAAAGAGTTTGCCTACACAATCTTTCATCAAAATCTGTGTGTCGTTGACATGCAGTCGCCTTCGCCTTTGTTCACACAAAAAAAACAACCTGTCTGCATGTCAGAGGCAAGTTACACAGATGAACTGGCCATTACTGTGCCACTAAACCCTTACACAAATAGCACAGCCTCACAGCAAGCTCATGCTCATTAAAATCAGCCACAATCTCACGCTGCTGTTCTCCTCCCTTACCTGTAATGAAAGTAACACATTACAGCCACTTAAGGCTCTCAAATGCAGTTCTTAATTAGCCTGAAAAAACACAAGGCTTTTGTCAAACAATAGAGCTGCTTGATTGCCTGTTAAACATTTTTTATTTATTTCCTGAAGACTAGGCTGTCAGGCACTTTTTTTTTTTTTAACGGCACAACAGAACAACATCTGTTAACTCAATTTAATTAACATTGTAGTAGTAATTCAAATCACATTTAAAAAAAAATGCTTATTAGAAAAACTTGTGCCTGATCACTTAAATTATATTAAATCAATCAATAAATAAAATATGATTCAAATAAACACTGCTGTGGTGTATTAGATTCCGACTGAATAAGTGTTGTAAATTCAGAACTGGTTCCATTTCTATAAAATTCTGGAACCAAATGATTTTCATGATGTTTGCTTCTGTTAATGATTCTGCAGATGTCTGCTGATGGACCACCATACTAAAATACTGTTTCCTGTACTGAAAGTCATCATGTTTTATACGAGTTGTGAACTTGCTGTCTGAACTGAGTGTGATGAGAGAGAAAAAGCACTAAAAGAATCGTTAATGGAATCGGAACCATAAATGTTCCCTTTTTTATTCTATTCATGTCAGACAACTGTGTTGCCCTTCGAAATCTCACACCACAACAAATGTATTAAATACTGACGAGAAAGGAGGTCTTCCAGATGTTTTCTATGTGGTTATTATCTAGGCAAGTTTGCAGTCCTCTTGTCTTCCTCTGGACTGTGTCGGCCGGACCAGCATGCTTTGCACTGCCGATCCCGCTGTGCTTTGTAGTGCGGCCTGCAGCAGGGGTCCTGCAACTCTACACAGCCGCCGGTCAGTGCGATTAAAGTGATGGCTGCCAGCTTCATATAACTACAAAGAGCTCATTCATTTGGCTGCTTTGATCATAATCATTAAAAATGGATTGCAGGGTTATGTCTCATCTCCCTCCCTCATCTACGCCTGCAACTTCAGAAAGAAAGATGCTGTATCCACCTCTTTCCTCAACACGCAAGTTTCATGCTGGAAAACTCTTGTCATTTTGCAGTCAGAGGTTTGTGGAGAAATGTTAGGGCGCCATGATTTCCACAATGCAGAAAATGCAAATGGCATTATGGAATCCATGTTATAAAAATGGACAGTATAATGCGGAATGTCATGGAATTTGCCAAAGTTTGGATATATACATAAATACAGCAGGGCTGTAAAACAATAAAAACCCCTGATATTTAATTGTTGTTGGGTTTTTTTAGGTCTTTGGGACTTTATTATTTTTGTGCTGCTTCATATTTTTGTGTAGTCTTTTTAAGGATTCTTATAAAGTTCAAAAGAACTGTATTTGCAATATGCAATAGACTATTTTTTGTAACACTATAAAAGTCTTTACTGTCACTTTTGATCAATTCAATGCATCCATATTGAATAAAAGTAGCTAACCTTCTGAATTTGTCTCTCATTTTCTCCAGGTCGTCTCTGGTTCGACCCAACTCTGCTTGCATGTAATGTCGACTGGTTTCGAACTCCGTCTCCATCGCCTCCATCTTATGAGTGGTCTGGGAGAGCCGGCGACGGAGGTCTTCATTTTGCTGCTGCAGGATCCTGCAAAATAAGTGAGAGCAATGAAAGATATGAAAAATGCATCGCTGACATGAGAAATTGAGTTCACACCACTGTAGAGGTACAGGGCAACAATCTACAGCATTCTCATGTATTTCCATTTTCATTTTACTACACTAGCATAAAAGACCCTTTAATATGAATACTGAAGACATGCCATGCCTGGGAAAGCGTTTATGCATGCATTGTTGATGTGCATCTGTGCAAGCTCACATTTCCTCTCAACATATATAGTATTCTTTTAATAGATCTCTGTCATGTTTGGTATCATTTTACAGCTCATATTCTGAACAGAAATGTACTGAAGAAATAGCTCTGATACAGCTGTCATTTGAATATGCATCAAAGAAAAGACTGTTATGCTGTCTCTCCCACATCAGGAGCATCTCATTAGTGTACGTACTTAGATTTATAAAAAGTGTGTGCACTGCACCAGGTTTGACAACAATGAAGCGAAAAGGCATATATATATATATATATATATATATATATATATATATTGTGTGTGTGCGTGTGTGTATAAAATATGGTTGTGCTGCTTTATATCTATGAGGAAATTCTGAATTTTTCATGAATTGATTGTTTTAATGAATGGAAAGTTAATAACTTTTACAAGTTAATGAACCTATAAGGAATGCACCAATACAAATGTATTCTAAATGCCAGTACTGGAGTTGATACGATGCCTGATTTTATAATGTATTCTATTATGGACGCTATTATTTCAATACACATAGATTTTGCTGATTTTATCTATGCATCTATGATGTATCGTATTTATATTATTTCATAAATAACAATGTGGCTACATGCATATGGAATATTCCTCACATTAAGCCATCAAAAGAAATATATTAGAAAAAAAGGAGGATGTGTTATATATTTTAAATACATTTAAAAAATATAATTAACAAAAATAATGCAAAATACAGTTTCATGGCCTGTACAACATATATCTGTCTGATAAATGTTCTCAACTCTCAGACCAAAAGTTAATTGGAACTACTGTATACTTTCTGTAATTTCGTAATCTTTACAATCATGCCAATAAAGCACTGTGGACTAAGAAAAAACAACAGTGCAAAACTAAGAGGACGGCCAGTAAACACCCTATAGACTCTATTATAGGACTGGAGGTGCACCTCAGCAATGTGAGCTTTCACAGCCTACATCCAAGACACAGGGCGAAGGTGTCAAACACATAATGATGCCTCAGCCTACACCCCGGCCAAGACTCCTGAAAGCTGCCAATTACTCCAAAGAAAACCACATCCACAATACTTTCCAGCAACCTGAAGGTGATGAAATGGGGACTGGGGAGGCTGAAGCACGGTTTCCAAACCTGATGAACAGACAATTACATGTGTGCAAAACACTGAACGATTCTGAGCCCCATGATTAAAAGGCTCTCTGCAGTACAACATTAGGCTAAATGTTGTGCCTACTGAGAGCGAGTTAAGTGTTAGTCATGCATGTGTGTGAATGTGCGATCAGGAGGTACAGGAGCAGCGTGTGTGTGTGTGTGTGAGAGGAGAGCAGCTGGCTCTGTGCTGAGCTGAACGGGCAGCTGCAGTGATGCTGAACACCCAGCAGTCACACTTTGCCATCTCATCCCTATACCCACACAAATGCCATGCTTACGCTTTTTATTTGGTGTGGTTATCGTTATGTATACTGTGTATGGGGAGAAACTGTGTATTTTTCCACTGTCGTATATTAATTGTTAAATATAAGGTGTATACTGCAAGTTTCTCACACTTCTTGACCAATGAATTTCTTTATTTTTCTAAACATTCATAATTACTTGAAGATATTGGTGGGGGGTTTCCATTTATGTCAAGCATCAATCTTATGGATAAATAGATTTGAATGGCAAAGGGAAGACTATACAGTGCTGACTGCCTTGTTTCCCTCACAGGATCAATAATTGAGTAATTTAGAGTAATATTTAAACTAATCTGTACAATTTCTCACATTTTCTGAGCTGATATAATTCTACTAGTGCTGTCAAACGATTAATCGCTATTAATCACATATAAAATACAAGTTTTTGTTTGCATAATATGTGTGTGTTCTGTGTATATTTATTTTGTATATATATAGCACATACAGTATATATTTTGAAAATATTTACATGTATATATTTATATTCCTATAATTTATATTATAAATAAATATATTTAATATATAAACATAACATTTTTCTGAAATATATACATGCACGTGTGTGTATTTATATATACATAATAAATCACATGATTTACGGTGAAAAGAGACAAGAGGAAAGTCGGAGAAATGAAATGATAAATAGATTAAAAGACAAAATGTGATATTAAAGAGAATACAAGAAAGAAACAACATTGACAATGACCTCACATTGATTGATAAATCACATTGATTTTATTTAAGCTTACTGACAGTGTCATTAGACTAGATTCACATTTGACTTAAAAGTATGAGTGTAGATTTTCAGTAAACTACAGTCATAAAAACAGCATTAAAGTACGGTCACATTTACCTCTGTACGGCAAAATTCTGTGGGCCAAATACAGTTCTGTCAACTGGAATCCATGCGATCTGGAATTTCGCCACACATATTTCACATTGGATTCAGGTTTGTTAAATAAACTTTGAACATGTGAATATGCCATGTTGACCAATATAAAGCTGCTTAGTTTGGAAGTGACCTCTGAGAAAGTTGTACTTCGCTACACTACTTGACTTTCTTAATCTCCGAAATGTTTCCTTAATTTGGCTAATTTAATAAATTCAATTCATTTCTTTCAGTCAGTCCCATGTATCCATTTCAGTGAACTAATTCAAATCTCTGATTCATTTGTGTCATCACTATGTCCCAGTATGCCATTTTAAAGGGGTCATCGGATGCCCATTTTCCACAAGTTGATATTATTCTTTAGGGTCTTAATGAAAAGTCTATAACATATTTTGGCAAAAATTTCTCAATGGTAGTGTAAAACAACACCCTTTTAACCTGTCAAAAACAGCTCTGTTTACAGCAAGCCGTTTCGGTGCATTTCCCTTTAAATGCTAATGACCTCTGCTCACCCCGCCCCTCTCTTCAGTGGGATGACGCGCAGTTCTCTGAGAGACTGTAAACTTTAGCCGCATTCATCGTGAAACTTGCTAACTAGCACATTATTAGGAAAGGCGATTTGCAAAATTCATTAAAAAAACTTCTTCTGGAGGTGAAGCTGGATCACGAATGATTTGCGCATAGACACGTTTAGGTAGATCGGAGGATGCATTCCCTTCAAAAACAAAGCTAATCCACTACGTCTTCAGCGGCTCAGATGTCAGGAATAAATGATGACTGCTATGTTCATTATTACATCCAACAACAAAACACCTCAATCGCTTAGGAGACATTCTTGTCTACACCTGCTCCGGCATCGAAACAATGGCGGACTGATGACAGCTCACTTAGGGCGGGTCTAAGGGTGTACTCACACTAGGCGTTTTGAACCGTGCCCGAGCGCATTTGACCTCCAAAGCCCGGTTCGTTTAACTAGTGTGATCGTTCTGTATCGCGTCCGTATCCGTAGAGGTGGGCTCGGGCGCAGTACGCATGAAGTGTGCGTGCTAACCGCACCGGAAAACAGAACAGCTACTATTTTGTGTGCGCTACTGTCATCATTACGACCGCAAACATATTCTATTACTACTACTGCAGTCCACTTTTCAACTAATTTAATTAAATCAAGTATATTTAGGTTTATAACTGGTCTGGTTCTCACCTTATTGATGAACAGGAATTGTAGTTTGCGAGTAAAGCTGCAAATTCTTTCTTCTTTCATTGCTGCCTCCATAATAATTCTCTGATACATACAAGTAAAAATCGCTGCACGGCATAAATTATAAATTTATTATGCAGAATATTAGTGAAAGTGGTTTTCTCCATTATCTCGTACATGACGTAAGCGTGCTCCAGCCCAGAATGTTTAGTGCAAGTGTGAGTGCAGGCCAGCGGGGGAGTGGGGAGGGAGGATAATCACGCTCGGGCTTGGTTCAAGGCAACCGTGCCTGGTGTGAGTACACCCTAAGGTAAAACACCAGTGTCAATCAACAATCGTGGGAGGGGGCTTGGCTTGTGTGACATTACACAGCTAAGAATCAGAGAACGGCTAGATTTTAGAAAGGGGTTTGGATTTATCGAGATTTAAATTTTTTTTTTATCATTATAGGGTAGTTGTGTACACGCACTTATGGAGGAATATTCAGGACAATTTTCAAAAGGAATTGCAAATTGTATTTTCATTTGCGTTTCCCACATGTAGATGCATAAATTGTGACATAATCCAAATGCAAATCTTGCATTACCGTTTGCATTTTCGCGAACGCACAGTGACTGCCACATTTCAAATGAAAAAGCTAAATCCATTTGCAACTGTATTTCCCATGTCTAACGAGTTATGAGCCTTTCATATTTAAATAGCAATATTAATTACCACATTTGCTTTTTCACTCTCTGCATCGTGCATGTAAACTGCCAAAACTCAAATGTAATCCCAATTCTTTTGCATTTGAATTTCCGATGTCTACACAGAAAGCTGTCAATCAATGTGAGAGGCGGGACTATACTATGGGGCATGTTTGTATTGGGAGGTGACGTCACTCTTTTGTGCTTTTGATCAATGGAGGTAATCGGTAAAGGCTCTGCTAAAGGCAGCTGCTAATCAGTTCGTGCCTGTGTCAACGAACAGACATCCTTCTTGGCACAATACATAATTCTGTCTTTTTTACCCCAAATACAGCGATTATACCCAATTGCATTTGGATTATGTCACAATTTATGCATCCACATGTGGAAAACGCAATTGAAAATACAATTTGCAATTCCTTTTGAAAATTGTCCTGAATATTCCATTAATACTTTTTAGAAAAAGAACATGTTGCTAAAACTTGTTGCTTGATTGCAATTTCACTTTTTTAACTTTAGTTAGTGTGTAATGTTGCTGTTTGAG